AAAAAAAAAAAAAATGGAAGTCATGTTTTTGCTTCTTCACTGACGGCAAGCAACACAAAGTGCGCGAATTTGACATGATCACCCTTAGAAATCATACACCGCGGTCATACATGACATGATTACCCGTAACCTTGAGTGTTCTTGACATGATTATTGTATAATCTGCAACCAGATGACGTCACAGGCGCTGAATTCGAAAAATTACTGTACGCTTTCGGCCAATCAGAAAAGAGATAGTGAGTTCAATGTATAATAATAAGTGTTCTTGTGCTTTCTGTGTAGATTGGCAGTACAGGCCAACTGCTCGGTTTCGATTTATCAAAACAAGATACTATGCTTACATTGGACATTCACTGTAGCAGCATTGGATGTAACATTTCCAAGGCTGTTATTCGCCACACAACGGTAGGTTCCGTTGTCTGTTCTTTTCACATTCGTTATTGTCAACTGTTTTTTGTCATCTGAAATACTGATCCTTCCGCTTGTATTTACAGGAGATCCATCTCTAGTCCATGATATTATTGGTACTGGATTTCCATCAACGTTACAAGATAGAGTTACGTTAGCTCCTTCTGTTCTGGTTTTATTTTGAGGATGAGTAGCGATCTCTGGTTGATCCGTAACAAACAAGACAATCACTCATGAATGGGGAAATTTTGAAAGTACGAACTGAAATCATTTCAAGACTATACGAGCCTGTTTTTATGTTTTAAATGGATTTAAGTTAGCAAGTTACAGTGCGACTATCAAGGCCATCCTAGCAAATTATTTCCAAATTTACATCCACCGTTTGAGTGTTAAACGATAAACATGGCCACTAACTCATTGCCTCTGCAGTGTGCAGCTTGCTTGGATGAATGAATTGTCGGAAATGCAGTGTTAACATCCCATGTTTCCATTGGTTAAATTTGAACAGGATCTTTGATTCCTTGTTTGAAAGGGTCGCACTGTAAACTAGAAACTGCAGTAACGTCATTTTTAGGAAATTTTTCTTGTGAAATTTTCAAAACAATAATTGTCAAAAGTCGCTGATTTCTGTTTACCCGTTTCGTGCTAAACCCAATAGGGGCAATGGACCTTTCAAACATTCTGACGACAGTGTTTTGATCAATTGCTCGCATTGATATCTAGTGCAGCAGCATTGAAGATATCATTTCCAAGAATGTCGATAACAAGATACTGTACTTACATTGTACATCCAGTGTAGCAACATTGGAGGTATCATTTCCAAGTTCGTTGCTCGCCACACATCGGTATTCTCCGCTGTCTGTCCTGTTCACATGCGTTATTGCCAACTGCCTTTTGTCTTCTGAAAAACTGATCCTGGAATTAATAGTTGTATTGACAGGAGATCCATCTCTGAACCATGATATTGTTGGTACTGGATTTGCAGTAGCATTACAAGATAACGTTACGTTATCTCCTTCTGTTTTTGCAACACTTCGAGGATGAACAGTGATCTCGGGTTGATCTGTAATAATAATACAATCTGTAAAACATATCACAATAGGGCAATGTACATTGGGAGAAATGCAATGTTTATATCGTAAGTAATTTTGATTTATGGCTAATATATAGTCGCAATAGATTTGACGATTATCGATGGGCGA